TAGTTGCGTTCGATGTGTGAAAATTACAAAAGGATACATCGTGGTCTATGTTTGTCTTTCTACTCGTGCAGTGCATCTGGAGGCTGCAAGCGATATGTCCACAAACACTTTCATTAGTTCCTTGAAGCGCTTTGTGTCAAGGCGTGGCTACCCTAACGAAATCCGTTCTGACAATGGTACCAATTTTGTTGGTGCTGATCGTGTACTTCGAGAATTCATAGAACAAATTCTATCGCATAGTAAGGAGGCTGAGCGGTATCTTTCGAACTTGGGAATCAAGTGGGTGTTCAACCCTCCATCGGCACCCCACATGGGAGGCGGCCGTTAAGAGCGTAAAGTTTCATTTGATAGCACAGCTAGGAACTGAAGCTGTAATTTTTGAAGATTTGACGACAATGCTGTGCCAGATTGAGTCTTGCCTCAACAGTCGACCATTATGCTCTCTATCTAGTAATCCAGATAGCTGCGAGGCACTGACCCCCGGTCACTTTTTGGTTGGTCAACCGCTCAACCTAATTCCTGAACCTGATCTTCAGCACTTTCCACGGAACCGTTTGGATCAATGGCAAGACATGAACAACCGCTGCGTCAAGATATGGTTACGTTGGAAGGACGAATATCTCTCAAGTTTGAAGCCACGTACCAAGTGGCGTTCGGTTCGCCCCAACATATCAGTGGGCCAGCTTGTGTTGGTTAAGAATGATAATGCACCACCAACGCAGTGGGAACTGGCACGTGTGCAGGATGTTCATCCAGACACTTCTGGTGTAGTGCGAACTGTGACGCTGAGACGAGGCACAACTATTTATCAACGGCCTATTCATAAGTTGTGCTTGCTTCCTGTTGATTGAGGTCAGAGGCCTCAAGGTGGGGGAGTATGTTTTAGTATCGACGCACCCCTCGATCCATCCATCAACAACATCGAACGCCTAAATTCAACACTGGATTCAGGTCACCATCCGTAGAAGAACAAGTAAGCGAAAGAGAGTAGACAAGTGCGTGCATAAGAAGAAACACAAATTAGAAAAAGCAAGTTGTTCTTTTTCGAAGAATAAAAGTGGTATTTTTCCATCCAAATAATTTGTTTTTAATACAGTCCGTTAATTCCGGAAACATATAGTTTAAATACCTAAATCTAGTGTTCCTCATCGAAGAATCTTGTAAGTTCTTTTTGCATTATGATTACTGTGAATTAAGAATATTTTGCATGTAAATAGGTAATCCACAACTCTGTGTAATTGAATCACAGCTAATTAACTGTCTCACCAGACATCAGAATCGGTGAGAATGATGAATGGCTAATGGAAGCTTACAAATACTTAATCTAATGTAACTTACCTAGGACTTATAGCTTAAACTTACGTGCTAGGCTAAACCTAAATCCTGGAATACTCCAAGGGGAACTAAACGTGAGTACTTCTTATCTAAACTTACATCTAGGCCGAACAAAAATAGTTGAGAACGATCAACAATGTTATACAAACATACATCCATATATATAAACTACAGATATGAACCAAATTTACATTCTGTTGTACATCATAATTCAACATGAAGTACACTGAAATCTATAACGATTTATTGCCAATATTTAGCAAATTTAGGTATATAATTACTAATTACATCTGAAATTATTGTTTTTTGCTAGGAAAATTATATTCTCACATCAAGTAACTTCAATCGGACCGTGCGTTTTACTCGTTTCCGGCCTAAGTAGTGAGAATCATAATTTTGGAAACTTCCCGTTGAAATCGATTTTCAACTATAACTTTATTTTTCAATTTCTTTATTTTCCCTGAAGCGAATTGAACTGGCCTAAAATTATCTGATCTTCCCTGAAGTTCTTGGAACTTCTCTAGATTTCTTGAAATTCTTCTGAAGCGCTTAGTACTGCCCTGAACTTTAGAGAACAGCCCTAAGAATCCCTGAGCGTCATTGATAACCTCTGAACTTCGGTGGAGATCTCAAAACAATCATGAAGTTTTCACATCTCTGAAGTTTTCTGGACTACTTGAAAATTTGGGAGCATTTTTCTGAAATTAATGGAACTGCAATCATCTTCCCTGAAGTTCCGCCAACTCTCGAAACTGCATTTTTCTGATGTTCATGAAACGTTCTTGAAGCTTTCGGAGTTTCCCTGAAATTCTCGGGTGTCCCCCTAAGATTTTCTGAGCTTCTATGAAGTTTCCGACGTTCTCTGGACTCATGTGTTTTCGAAGATTTCCTGAAAATTCATAACTTCGCTGGAGTTCTTTGAGCTTCTATGAAATTTACGGAACTTCATTTAGGACTTTCCTGATGTTTCTGGATCATCCCTGACATTATTGAACCTGCGCTTCTTCGTCTTTGTCTTCTTCTTATTCTTCGCATTTAAGCTGATTGTTTATCGCATATTAGCTTATTGCGTGCTCACACTCTCAACTTAGCGTTCTACATGCACGTCCACAGTTATTAATTGAGAGCTTTCGATGCCTGTTCCATTTTTCCATTAGTATAATTGTGTGGCAAGTACAATCATACTCTATGACCAGGGAAGTCGATAAATTTTCCAACCCGAAAAATTCCTAGACCGGCCCGGAAATCACCGGGACTGAGCTAAGGGAGGCCCCTGGACCAGCCCTTAGGATCTCTGAAAATCCCTAAAGATCGCAAGCTAGGTGCTTCTCTGAGATACTTGGATTTTCTCTAAAGTTTCAACAATTTTCCTTAAGTTTTCTCTTCTCTGATGTGCTCTTGATTTCTCTAAAGTTCTCTAAATATCTATGAAGTTTACAGAACTTCTTAAAAGATGCTACAGTTTTCCTGAAGCTAATGCTTATCTGAAGTTCCAAAAATTGTCCAAAGGTTTTGCGGAATTTCCCTTATGTTCTTTCCGGAAGTTCACGGAACTTCCCTTAAGTTCTCGCAACCCTCTTGATCATGTTACTGGAACTTTCGTGAAGTTAATGGAAAAGACCAAAAGATCTTTAAACTTTTCTAAAGTTCTCTGAACTTCCGTGAATATCTTGGATCTTCCGTGATTTTTTTGTCTTTATTATAGAGATTTTTAGCCATATGGCTAGTTCACCTCTTAAGATTGAAAAAAAAAGAGAAGAAAATTGGGTTCTCAGAAGGAGATTCCCAATCTTGGCTGTGGTACATTTATCTTGCTATAATGAAAAGGTGTAGAAAACTGCCAAAAGGCCCAACAAAACGGAAATACAAACAAGGAACACTCAGATATTATGGTAAAGGTTCGCCTCCTTTAGGAAGGTGATGGGGCGGCTGCTGCCGGGGACTCATCGCCCAACAGGTTCCGAATGCTGACTGACTCCAAGCCGAAGGTAGCCCGAAGGTCCTCCAGCTCCACGCAGTTCACGAGGATGTGCTCCACGGTGGCTAGCACTCCACAGGTTTCGCAGGTCCTCCGGAACGGTGTTCGTCCAAATTTGTGGGAGACTCTGCTGAGCTGGTGCGCAGCCTTGACACCACTCGTTGTTCTCTTAGGTTTGGTCGATCCTTCCAGGTTCCGGTGGCCGCCTTGATCTTCCGAAGGTGGTGTGTCCTGTTGTTCCTCCACTCGGTGTCCCAGGATCTCCGAACCGTCTGCTCGATCCACTTTTTGACATTTTGGAGCGGTACATTGCCGGTGGACATGGGTCCAGTGTGGCCTGAGCCGGCGAGGTGGTCGGCTGTTACGTTCCCTTGGATCCCGCAATGACCGGGTACCCACATGAATACCATAGAGGTAACTCTAAGACTAGAAGGTCCCGAAATAACGTGCTCAACTTTTTGGCTCAGCTCTGGTACTCTCTTCGGTCCCAAGCTAATCGATTCACCCCTCGAAACATAGGAAAAACCAATTACCCCTCATTTTATCTGTCAAACTTTCATAGCGAATCAAAACAAACATTGCGTAGTACTAGAATTTCAACTAGAATGGGGTACGTTAATCGTTTGCTTGGGACCAATAGGCTAGTCAAGTAGTGAGCCAATTTAAAATCGTTAGTTTCGTATTGATTGTTGTGAATACAGTGTTGGGCGGCGCATGCTTTACCGTCCCTTGGATCCACGGATGCTTCGGTGCTTCTGTTGTTAGGGCCAATATCACGCTGTGTGAGTCAGTTTCGACTAATATCGGCCGGTTGGCCAGTAACTTAAACTAAACGCGTGGATAATGGCCGCTGCCTCAGCTGAGAACACCGAGCATTGAGTCGGGAGCGATTTGCTCACAAGCAGACCATCTCCGGAGACCCCCCCCCCCCATTCCCACTCTGCTCCTGGAGAGAGACCCGTCGTTGTACAAAGTGGTCAACTTTTGACCACTGATAACTCTCTCAATAGCGGTTGGATTTTAATTCGAACCAAACCAATCGATTGGAAATTTTTCTACAAATCTAAATCAACTAAAATCAACACTTTATCATTTTTCAATAGGTCACTATTAAAATTACACAAATGTCCAACTGTTCAAATGGTGATCAAAATTAAGCAAAAAGCACTCCAAATTCCATCCGGTCTCACCGAACGGTGCTTATTCAATCACCGTGTGTGGTGGTGTCCGGTCGGTCGTCATCAGCAGCAGCAGCAGCAGTGCTTTCGGTGCGTGGCGTTGAACATTGTTCTCCAGTACACAACGAAAGGCTGCCCGCAAGCAGCGACCATTGACTGAAGAAGCCGCACCGCTACTGATCGGATTCAGTCGCTTTTCATGAGTTGCTGTGGGCCATCTATGCCAAGCGCGTCACCCTCGTTCCAAACAACATACAGCTCGCCAGCCTCATCTGTGATGAACACCCCAACGTTCGCTCGCCTTTCTGCCAGACTTAGTCGTATGTTTACGCGAATAAAGCCATGACAATTCATTTAAAATTGGAGTTAGACCCCAGGGCCAAATATTGGAGCACCAGCGCCATAACTGGCTCACTTACCCTATGCTGAGTTTTATTAACGAGACGAAATAAAACCATATCATAGTCTGCAAAAAAACTGGGTTACATTTCTCTTCCAATCAAACTCACATTATCCTGCTTCATGGCCATAGACGTCCCGCTGCAGAACACACTGAACTTCAGTATGCTCTGTGGATTGTCGCTATCCACCAGCTGGTCCAGGCTCCGGTTCAGTATCACACTGACCACCGTCGTGTTGACCTCCTTCAGCTTAAAGTACTCCCCATCGCTGGAATTGTCCGTCCTGGCAATCAGAATCGAATTCCGCGGATAGGCATACAGTGAGACAATCTCCCCACCGACGGGGAAGTCCTCCTTCAACCGTAGGAACTGCACTCCGTCCGATTTGGTCCGCAGGTTGCTCTTGGAGTAGAGTTTGCATGCTGTGGAAAAATAAGAAGACATTGACAAATGTTAGATCGGTGCTACTGGGGATCGAATAAATTAACGCCCCGTGACAAGCGGATTGAGAAATGTGAATATGTTAATTTAATGGATGATACGACGTCGTTTGACGGCGGCATGGATGCTTTTAGATCGAGATGCTTTTTTCTCTCGCTTGGAAGGAACAATCAATTCTTACATCTCAATCTTTTACATCAACTCAAGGGGGGAAAAGTCGGGATAAATTAATATTAATTAAGCCGAAGTCATTTATCAACCCGCTTCTGCGAACAACGGATGGGTTGCACTCCTGCAGCCATGGAAACGAGGACCAAAATGAAAACAAAAAACAGAGAAGTGCGGTGTAGAAACGGAAGAAAATTGATCTTCAATAAAATATAACTTAGCTTATATGTATGCAGAAGATTAATGATTCTACTGATTCTGGGGATCGCAATTCAGTGAAAGTGCGCTCCAGGAACAGCCTACAACGATAATACAAAGTCGTGAAAGTACACTTGAGTGACGGTTTCAGCACACTCAAATCTTGCTCTGGAGCACCTAATCCAGTTTGAGCACAGTGCATACTCCGTAAAAGAAAGCAGGTCTTCCCTCGAGTGGAGTCTCTTTCCGTGTATGACTTACGATTCGTACCAATGAAAGTTAATTACCTGCCACCGTGCACTTCTAAATTTCCACTTACAAACAAAAACTGGAGTACGCTCTCACTCGAAAAAAAAAAACCAGCCTACTTGACCGCGTCACCCCTTGGGCACGCAAGAGCTAACTGTCACCTTTTTTCCCTCATCACTCTGAGTCAGTGTCATTCCCCCCGTTCTTCCGCTTCACTAGAAATGCATAGGAAGCGACCATAAACCACGTGTTAGAGCAGAAAGACCGCCGCATTTTTAAATTTATCACTGGGAAAATTAATCAGACCGTCGTCGGTTGGCCACAAAAAAGCAGCGTCTGGTGGTGGTGTTTATCGTTGCTTTTCATGACTCCAGCCAGATGGCCGTTGGCCCGTTTTTAAGCAGTCGACGATGATTTATGAAAATTTGTGCTGTCTTCTCGGATGATGAACTTGACTCCTCTTTTCGAGTGGCTAGAGATGGTTGTGAGATTCCATCGTAATATTTCCAAAAGTGATCATTAATCAGACAGTTTTGGGAGTTGCATCATTTTCCCATAAAACCGGAAGGCGGTCACTAACCCGCCAAGAACTCTTCTCATTTTCGAACAATGAAAGACGAAGACTTTCGCTTTCCGCAAGGCCAGGAAAAGGCTTATCGCTCCCGGAGTTTGCAACTCGCTAAATGGATTGATTCTCTGCTGCTGCTGCTGACTGGATGGGTGAGAATTCACCGAGAGTTCACGCTCCAACCGTGATCACAAACAATGGATAAAACCACCCGCTCTCACGCGCCCGCTTTCCTACACACCGCCAAGCGTGAAAACATTGCTCGTTTCGTCATTATCGAGCCAGCCAGCAGCGAAGTAGGCTTTTGTTTTGAGTGAGTAGGTATTTTTTTTCTGCTCTGCTCTACCACTGTGGACTGACTCAATTCATCATCACAGCAGTCGGCGGCGGTGGCTGGGCGGACAGTGGGATGTTTGTTTTTGCTTCTTCAGCCCACCTCGATCTGCAAGTGGGCTCTGGACGGAATGGATGAATGTATGGTGGATGGTTCTTGTGCTTTTGGGCTTGTGCCCGACTTCCAGCTGGTTGCTAAGCAGCAGCAGACGGTTTGTCGTACGCAATCAAAACAGAGAGCAGTCCCTTAGTGGGCGCTGATTGAATGGTCCACGTGCCCTTTCGGGTGTGGGTGTTTGGCTGGGAACTGTTAATCAAATTAAATCGAACGAAACGTTGAATTTATGGCGATAAATATATACCTAATTGTTGAAATTAAAATACTAGATTTGATGAAGTAATTCAAAATTATTTCGAGCATCAATTTCTATTGAAAAGTTTCCAGTTTCCACAAATCTAAATAGATGAGGACATTTTTTTAATTTTCAATTTTTCTTCACGTCAACGATTAGAGATAAGGTAATCAATTTGTTATGGGTTGGGAAATTTTTTTGGGATATTTTTTAACTGACACCGAAAAACCCTCCAAATCTCGATTAGAGCCGTATTTACGGAGATAAATCGATTTAAAGATTTTCATACCCGCTAGCCTGAAAATAATGGGTTGGGAAATTTTTTTGGGATTTTTATTTACTGACACCGAAAAACCCTCCAAATCTCGATTAGAGCCGTATTTACGGAGATAAATCGATTTAAAGATTTTCATACCCGCCAGCCTGAAAATAATGGGTTGGGAATTTTTTTTTGGATTTGTTTTACTGACACCGAAAAACCCTCCAAATCTCGATTAGAGCCGTATTTACGGAGATAAATCGATTTAAAGATTTTCAAACCCGCCAGCCTGAAAATAATGGGTTCGGACTGTTTTTTTGGTATTTTTGTTGGGGATTTTTTTTTACTGACACCTTAAAACCCTCCAAATCTCGATTTAGAGCCGTATTTACGGAGATAAATCGATTTAAAGATTTTCATACCCGCCAGCCTGAAAATTATGGGTTGGGACATTTTTGAACTTTTATGAAGTTTCTTTAAATTAAACAAAGTTCCCTTAACTTCACCATAGTTTCCCAAACATGAAGATCCCAATTTTACGAAGTTTACGCGATTTTTTACAAAACACCTTGAATGTCTTCGAAATTCTCAGGACTTCCCTGAATTTCGGCAATAGTTGCATGAACTTCGACAGGACTTCCCTGAACTTCGGCAATAGTTGCATGAACTTCGGCAGGCTTTCTCTGAAGTTCAGCAGGACTTCTCTGAAGTTTGGCAGGACTTCCTTGAAGTTCTGCAGGACTTCCCGGACCTTCGACAGGCCTTCCCTGAACTTCGGCAGAACTTCTCTGAACTACGGCAGGATTTCCCTGAGCTTCGGCAGGACTACGCTGAACTACGGAACTGTCCTGAACTTTGGACTGTCCTGAACTTTGGCAGGACTTCCCTGATCTTTGGCAGGACTTTCCTGAACATTGGTAGGACTTCCCTGAACTTTGGCAGGACTTTCCTGAAGTTCAGCAGGCCTTCCAGGACTTCCCTAAATTTCAGCAAAGCTTCCCTGAACTTCGGCAGAATTTCCCTGAACTTCGGCAGGACTTCCATGAACTGCAGTAGGACTTCCCTGAACTTCAGCAATACTTCCCTGAACCTCGGCAGAACTTCCCTGAACATCAGCAAAACTTCCCTGAACTTCGGCACAACATCCCTGAGCGTTGGCAGGCTTTCTCTGAACGTCGGCTGGACTTCTCTGAACTTTGGCAGGACTTCCCTGATTTCCAAGAATTGAAATGGCAGAACTTCTCTGAACTTCAACAGGACTTCCCTGAACTTCGGCAATAGTTGCATGAACTTCGAAAGGACTTCCCTGAACTTCGGCAATAGTTGCATGAACTTCGGCAGGTTTTCTATGAACTTCAGCAGGACTTCTCTGAACATCAACAGGACTTCCCTGAAGTTCAGTAGGACTTCCCGGACCTTCGAAAGGCCGTCCCTGAACTTCGGCAGGACTTCTCTGAACTTCGTCAGGACAATCCTGATTTCCAAGAATTGAAATGGCCGGACTTCTCTGAACTGCGGCAGGACTTCCCTGAACTTCGGCAGGACTTCGCTGAACTATGGCAGGACTTCCCTGAACTTCGACAGGACAACGCTGAACTACGGAAGGACTTCCCTGAGCTTTGGCAGGACTGTCCTGAACTTTGGCAGGACTTCCCTGATCTTTGGCAGGACTTTCCTGAACATTGGTAGGACTTCCCTGAACTTTGGCAGGACTTTCCTGAAGTTCAGCAGGCCTACCAGAAACATTGGCAGGACTTCCCTAAATTTCAGCAATGCTTCCCTGAACTTCGGCAGAATTTCCCTGAACTTCAGCAAAATTTCTCTGAACTTCAGCAGGACTTCCATGAACTGCAGTAGGACTTTCCTGAACATCAGCAAAACTTCCCTGAACTTCGGCACAACATCCCTGAGCTTTGGCAGGCTTTCTGTGAACATCGGCTGGACTTCTCTGAATTTTGGCAGGACTTCCCTGATTTCCAAGAATTGAAATGGCAGAACTTCTCTGAACATCAACAGGACTTCCCTGAACTTCGGCAATAGTTGTATGAACTTCGACAGGACTTCCCTGAACTTCGGCAATAGTTGCATGAACTTCGGCAGGTTTTCTCTGAACTTCAGCAGGTTTTCTCTGAACTGCGGCAGGACTTCCCTGAACTTCAGCAGGACTTCGCTGAACTACGGCAGGACTTCCCTGAACTTCGGCAGGACAACGCTGAACTACGGAAGGACTTCCCTGAGCTTTGGCAGGACTGTCCTGAACTTTGGCAGGACTTCCCTGATCTTTGGCAGGACTTTCCTGAACATTGGTAGGACTTCCCTGAACTTTGGCAGGACTTTCCTGAAGTTCAGCAGGCCTACCAGAAACATTGGCAGGACTTCCCTAAATTTCAGCAATGCTTCCCTGAACTTCGGCAGAATTTCCCTGAACTTCAGCAAAATTTCTCTGAACTTCAGCAGGACTTCCATGAACTGCAGTAGGACTTTCCTGAACATCAGCAAAACTTCCCTGAACTTCGGCACAACATCCCTGAGCTTTGGCAGGCTTTCTGTGAACATCGGCTGGACTTCTCTGAATTTTGACAGGACTTCCCTGATTTCCAAGAATTGAAATGGCAGAACTTCTCTGAACATCAACAGGACTTCCCTGAACTTCGGCAATAGTTGTATGAACTTCGACAGGACTTCCCTGAACTTCGGCAATAGTTGCATGAACTTCGGCAGGTTTTCTCTGAACTTCAGCAGGTTTTCTCTGAACTGCGGCAGGACTTCCCTGAACTTCGGCAGGACAACGCTGAACTACGGAAGGACTTCCCTGAGCTTTGGCAGGACTGTCCTGAACTTTGGCAGGACTTC